AATTTAGCTCCCCTTTGCAAAGCCCTTGCACTTCATTTCTGCGGATTTTGACAGGGTGCTTTATGTCTGGGGAGAAGTCAGTGGTGTTTGAGATAGTTAGATGAGCAGATTTGATTACTGTCCTGCTGCTGCAGCAGCAGGATACAGAGGAACAGGCAGGGAAAACTGATAATCACTCAGTCTTTGTCACCGGTGCTGGCCCGACCCCACTGAGCAAGCGCTGATCCGGTGGCATCTCCTCCGATTTGGTGGCATCTCCTCCGACCTGGTGCCATCTCCTCCGTGGCGTGGCCTGCAGGAGGAGAGTCGCCGCTGGCACCTGGTAGCCCAGCACAGGGTGAATCCTAATGCGGTGCTCTGTCCTTTGCTGCCTGGCAGGTGTGAGAAGTGCTACCTCTGTAAGTCCCTGGTGCCACTGCTGCAGTATCAGAGGCACGTGGACAACTGCCTTCAGGCTGCTAGGCAAGCTCAGGGAACCAGGAGGCTGCGGAGCGCCAAGGTGAGGGGCGACCCCGCAGACGGCTCCGTGCGGGGCTCGGGGGCGCGCGGCCGGCACGAGCCGTCCCCTGGCCCTGGGGATGAGCCCACCCGCTGTGGGGGTGCCCGCCTCTGTGCGTAGCTGTGCCCAGAGCGCTCCGTGCCCTCCCTCTCGCAGCGTTTCGCAGGAGCGTGGCCGGGTCCCTGGGGCTGAGCTCATGCAGCGGAGCTGCCGGGAGCCCCTCCAGCAGGCAGGGAGCCAGGGCCGCCCTGCCAAGCAGCCTCGCGCCCACAGGCTTCCCTGCCTGAGCACACGTGGAGTGGGGGCAGCGGCAGGATCATGAGCGYGGCCGGCTCTATCCCACAAGCCCCTTCCCGTTGGGAAGGAGCAAGCAGGGAGAAGCACGGAGTGCYGGGAGCAAAGGGAAGCACCCCAGGAGATGCACGAGGAAGCGAGCTGCTGTGCAGGGACAGAGGGACATGCCTTGCTAGGAGGTGGGAGGAAGCACGGGTAGCAGCTGGCACGCAGTACCTTGCCACGTKTTGGCCCCACCATGGCCATTCCTGCTCGTGGCTCTCCCAGGGAGCGCAGAGAGGGCCCTTCCAGGCCTCCCCGTGGGTTCCTGGGGGCACAGCCCTGGTGCAGCAGCTTTGCCTGTGCTCAGAAATGTGATTCTCAGCATGAAGATGCAACATGATGTCTTAGTTTCGTATAATCCCTTAAATCCATCACAGGCCTCAGCCCTTGGGGATTCAGATGCAAATGATGAGATTTCTGGTTGACGATTTTTGGCTGGGATACAGCTGAGCGTTGTGTGGCTCAGAGCACTGCAGGGCACGGCTGCTCCTGCATGTGACGAGTGCCATGGGTCTGTTTGCCCCTGCCCCACTTAGCTCGCTGGCGGCCTGGAGGTCCCTGCACCGGGAAAGGTGCTGGAGCCCAGCTGCCCCTTGGGACACCTTGGCAGGGCTCTGCCTTTCCTCTGGCTCTGCCTCGTGTGGAGGTGGCTGCTCCCCTGTGGGGAGCAGGTGGTACCTGGGCATGGGCTGGGCCACTGGAAAGCTTCCTGGTAGCACTGCTGGGCTTGCAGGTTCCTGCCCGAGCCCCTTTGGGGGTTATTTTCAGCTCCAACCTTGCAGCAGGACTGGCAGYGACTTCTAGAGCCTTTCTAGGGGACAGAGGGCAGACAGGAGAGGAGACTTTGCTGGGCAAGCAAGGCTTGGAGCAGCCAGCCAAGTGCTCTTCCCTTAGCCTGCGACTGCTGCGGGGCCATGTATTCCTAGGGACTCGGAGTGGGCACGAGGTGAGTGCTGTCCATGTGATGGTGCCCTGGAGGAAGGCTCTTCACTCCAGCACCACGACCTCCCTAAGATGGAGCAGGCTGGAGCAGGCTGGAGGCTGCGCTTGGAGTCGCAGCGCCGGGGGGATGTGCCGGAGGTGGCGCAGACCTCGTGGTGCAGATCTCCGTGCTGCAGCCCTGCGCTCGGGGTGGCTGCCTGCAACGTGGCCTCCCTTCGGAGCAGGCTCTGCTGTAGCAGCTGCTGCCAGGGCAGCGCTCAGGCTGGGTCGGGGCAGTGCCCTTCATGTTGGCTGCTGCTCTTGCTCAGCTGGACGGGAAACGTGGCCGCCCCGTGGGCTGGGGGGACCCGCGGGCGAGGGGCCGCCTTGGACACGGGAGGGCGTGCGTCCTCTGCGGCACTGCTGTGATGTGATGGCTGCTCTCCTCTCCCCTGGCAGGACACTGGAAGGCAGGAGGGAGGACTCCTCAGCATGCTGGAGCTCTCGGAGAGCAGATCTGCAGGTGGGAAGCTGCTGCTGCCTCTGCCCGGCCTGGTCACCCCCTTTCCTGACCATCTCCTTTTGAGTCCTTCAGCTTCTGCTGCAAGTTGCGGCTTGGGCTGCATGGGCAGCAAATTCCCCTTGCAAGGAGCCTGCTCCTGAGCAAAGCGGGAGGCTGTGGCCCTCGTGGGCCTTTTGCACACCCCTCAGCAGGCCCAAGCTGCCGTGGGGCACCTGACACGCTGCAGGACTTGACTGTGACGGCGCAGCCCTGCTCTGCGCTGCCGGGGAGCCGTCACGCTGTCTTGGTGGCTCCCAGAGCCGCAGAGGGTGGCTGGGCCGCTGCCAGCCCTGGGTACCACGGTAGGACTCCTGTGGCTGGATGTGCCTGGCTGCTTCTGCTGCCAGGAGCCGGGATCCTGCTCCAGTGCCCAGAGCGCAGGCAGGGCTGTGCTCTGAGCCGCGGCACTGAGAAGCCTCCAGCACCTGCCTGCTCCTGGCAGTGCCAAGCGCTGCCTTCCCGGCTGCATGAGGGGCCTTCCCCCTGGGCTCTGAGGGCAGGTGAGCCCTGCCCATGGAGGAAGGCAGCTCACGGCATCCTCCTCCCCTCACCCGTGCCCTCTCCTGTGCTTTCGTTCCAGATGCTGATGCGGGGACCCCCCTCTCTGAACTGAGAGAGCAGCAGTCGCCTCCTGCTTTCTGCGGCCGAGCCGAGGACGAGGCCGGGGACAGCCCGAGCCCCCTTCCCCGTGTCCCCTTCAGCGCTTCCCCTGCCAAGCCGCACATCTCCGCTGCAGAAGCCGCGGGCTGCTTGGTGGACTTGGAGCCGCACRTGGCCCTTCGCGTGGGCGCTCGGCAACAAACCAAAGGCTGCCGRCGGAGAAAGAGGAAATTCTGAGAGGGGCAGAGCGGGAGCCTCCCAGGGCAGCCCCGTGAGCCGTGGGGGCGCGCGGCCTGCGCAGGACCTGCCCCTGCAGCCTGCTTCTGCCACCCCCCTTTTATATGTTTTATACGATCTGTGCAGGGAGCGCTGGGGTGGAGAAGTGACTGTGTGTTTTATAGGTGCCTGTGCAGCTTTGCTCTCCCGTTAAAGAAATGGAAATATATTTATGTATGTTTTTATGAAACTGCAGCAACACGAAGGAGCTGTGCTGTCTTTCTCTGGGGATTGGGAAGGCGCTGGAGGGAGGAGAGGAGGGAGAGCAGATGATGCCTGTAAAAGCGCTGCCTTGGCGCCCCGGGGGCTGGGAGCAGTGCGAGCAGAGGGCCCTGGCTGCCCGGGTGGTGCGTGGCGGGCGCGGGGTGCCCGCGCTGGCAGCGCGGCGGGGTGRCGGCGAGCGGCAGCGCAGACAAGTGCGGCGGCCACTGGCCTCGGTGCGGAGGCTGGTGCTGCCTTGGACCCCGGCCAGCTGTGCTGGGCCGTGCCAGATGTGAGCTCAGCTGGCGCCTGCTGCAATCCAGCTGCTGTGGGCTCCTTTGTCCTCTGGGGCGCYGCTTTGTGCACATGACAACGTCCCCATGTGCCCCTGGCGGGGGGAAGCCTCTGCGTGCCCCCACGATGGTGCTTCAGTGCGAGCGTTTGCCACCAGCTGTCCCCTTGGTGCGCGGGGAGCAGGGGAGGCYGCGTGTGAGCAGCTTTCCCCCAGGGAGGCTCCTGCTGCACCGGCACCAGCCGAGCGCAGCAGCCAGGGGAGGCAGCGCCCGGGCGGGCACCGCTGGAGCTGTGGCCGCGGGGTCCCTGCCGCCGCAGGGTCCCTGCCGCCGCGGGGTCCCTGCCGCTGCGGGGTCCCTGCTGCCGTGCTGTCCCTGCCGCCGTGCTGTCCCTGCTGCCGCGGGGTCCCTGCCACATGCCGCCGTGCCAAGCCCGGCCAGCCCCTGCGCCACTCTGCTCCCCTGGCCCAGGGCAGCGTCACCTCGGGGCTCTGGAGTGCCCCGGGCTGCAGCCTGGGGCCTCTCCTGCCCCCAGGGCCCCTGGGGACGCTGCCACTTCATGTGCATGGCCCCAGGGTCCTCAAGGGCAGCGCAGCCCTGGCCTCCCTCTGCGCGCTGCCCTGCGGCCACCGCAGTGCCGAGCCCGGCCGGCCGCGCACCCRGGGAGCAGCCTCGCCTCCTGCTGCAGAGCCCCTCATTAGGAAGGGGAGGGCTCATTAATGTGCCTGCTTAATTAATGGGGCAAGTTGACGCTGAGCTAATTAAAATTTGGGCTCAAATTTAAACGTGCTAATTGGAAACGCAGCCACATGCAAATGGSTCTGGAAATAGGGCACCCCCCTTGGCGTGGGGGGTGCAGCCCGGGCCGGGGGGGCAGCCCCGGTGCGGGGGGGCYGGCTGGCGATGGGCGCGGGCCCCCCGGGCGCATCCTGCGCAGCAACGGGCCGCCCCATTGGTCATCGCCGGGGCCACCGGCGCCGCGTCCTGGCCAATGGCGGGGCAGGGCATCCCTGGGGGCTCTGCATCTGTCGCCAAGGCAACAGCATCCGCGTTGGCAACGGTCCCCGGGCCCGGCACCCACCTCGAGCGGCCCCCCCCCCCCGCCAGCGGCCCCCGCCACCGGGCCCGCTGCCCCCGGCCCCGCTGCCCCTGGCCACAGGAGCCATGTCCCAGCCTGCTCCCCGCGGCCCCGGCGGCGGGCAGCCCCCGCGGCCCCGGCGGCGGGCAGCCCCGCGCGGGGCAGCGCGGCGGGGCCTCGCGGGGCCGCGGCCCGGCCACCTTCACCACCGACGTCATCCTCCTCCTGCCGCGCGGCCTCGTCATGGTGCACAACGAGAGGAGCTGGACACCCCCGGGGCGCTCCTTGAACTGGTGAGGGGCTGTGTGGCCCGTTGGGTGCCCCCCGCGCTGGGCAAAGCCAGGCTCAGCCGGGTGCCCTCCTGCCACGCAGGACCCAGGAGAACCTGCCGCTCCGCTGCGACGAGGATCCTGCCCTCACACCGGTAGGGCCGGTCCCCGCGCCGGCGCCCGGGACGAGGTGCCCCCCGGAGTGGCCCTGACGAGGCCCCCGCAGGTGCAGCGAGTGCTGCTGGAGCTCACGGTGTCGCTGGAGACGCTGCAGGAGGTGAAGGGCCGCATGATGGAGGCCCTGGCCAAGGGGCTGAGCCGGCAGACGCACGCGCAGGCCAGCGTGCGCACGCTGCCCACCTACGTGTGCTCCACGCCCGACGGCACCGGTGAGGCCCCCAGCCTGGGGACGCGGCAACGGGAGCTGCCGGCTCCTGCTGCCAGTGGCAGAGCCCAGGAGCCGCTTCCCAGCCCTGGGAATTGCTGCCTCCCGGCGGGGCAGGCAGCTCTGCTCAGGACAGGTGAGGAGGAGATGCCATGGGGACATGCCACTGTGTCTGCTCCCTGGCAGAAAAGGGCGACTTCTTGGTGGTGGAGCTGCGCCGGAGACACGTGCGGACACTTTGGGTGACCCTGCCGGGCGACGGCAACCAGAACCTGCAGCTGAAGGAGCAGCTCTTCGACACGCCGGAGGACATCATGCAGGGCAGCGGGGAAGCGGTAGGGGCAGCGGGGCGGCCGCGGGGGCCGCGGGGCGCCGGGCAGGGCCAGCGGCACTCGCCCCTCTGCGCCTTGGCAGCTCTTCGACTTCATCGCCCAATGCCTGGGCCAGTTCCTGGACGGCGCCGGCCTCAGCAGCCCCCAGCAGCGCCTGCCCTTGGGCTTCGTCTTCCCGTTCAGCTGCAGGCAGACGCGGCTGGACCAGGCGAGCGGGGCGGCCCYGGCTCCCCTGGGTGCTCCCTGGGGGCTCGCGGCGGGTGCCGATGGCCAGGCTGTGCCCTGCGCAGGGTGAGCTCATCGCCTGGTCCAAGGGCGTCCACTGCAGCGACGTGGAGGGGCACGACGTGGTGCAGCTGCTGCAGGCGGCCATCAACAAGCAGCAGGTGGGAGCGGGGCCGGGGTCCCGGCCRGGGCGCTGCCCCCCGCACGCGAGGGCTGACGCGGCGCTCGCTCCGCTCCCACTCCCGGGCAGCGTTACCACGTGGATGTCGTTGCCCTCTTGAACGACACGGTGGGCACCATGATGAGCTGCAGCGTGGAGGGGATGCCCTGCGAGGTTGGCTTGGTCATTGGTGAGCGGTGGGCACCCATGGCGGGGGGCTGAAGGGGGCCCCGTGCTGGTGCTCAGCTCCCTCTGCCCGGCCCCCCCAGATGTGGGCACCAACAGCTGCTTCATGGCGGAAGGCTGCCTTGTGGAGATGGCCGAGGAGACCAGCGGGCGGATGTGTGTCAACACCGAGTGGGGCTGCTTCGGCGACGACGGCGCCCTGAGYGACGTGCTGACCCGCTACGATGAGAGCGTGGACCAAGAGTCCCGCAGACCCGGCCACAAGAGGTGCAACACRCTGCCCAGCGAGCGCTGGGTCTCCTGGGGCCCTCGGACATGAGTGAACGGCGCCTGAGACGCTCTTAGTGCTCGTGCAGAGCCAGGAGGGTGCTGGGGTGGCCTTGCTGGGAGCTGTGGGTGCTCACATGCACACGGGGCTGCGTGCAGGTTTGAGAAGCTCATCGGGGGCCTCTACCTCGGGGAGATCGTGCGGCACGTGCTGGCCAAGCTGGCCGCGGAGGGAGCCCTCTTCAGCGGGGCTGCAGCCGCCGCCCTGGCCACCAAGGATGTGCTCAAGACGCAGCAAGTGCTGGAGATCATCGAGTGAGCGCCCGGGGGCTGCCAGGGGCAGGCGGCAGYGCGGGGTGACGGGCAGGGGGCACCCGGCTGTGGGAGCGGCTGCCAGTGGCGCGCTCTGTGCCGCAGCGACGAGGCGGGCCTGGCCGTGGCACGCRGCGCCCTGCAGGCGCTGGGGCTGGCGCCCAGCGAGCAGGACTGCTGCCACGTGCAGCAGCTGTGCCGCGCCGTGGTGACCCGCGCCGCGGGGCTCTGCGCCGCCGGCCTCGCCGCCATCCTCAGCTACATGTGCCAGAGCCGCGAGCTGGAGCGCCTCAAAGCCAACGTGGCGGTGGACGGCGCCGTGTACCGGGGTCACGCCAGGTGGGGTGGCACCTGTGACACCCGCCACTGCGCTGGCGGCCACCACGGCGGCACGCAGGGAGCCCGGCCCTTGCCGTCCCCTCTGTGCCGCAGGTTCGGGGAGGTCCTGCAGCGCGTGACCAAGCTGCTGGCCCCCGAGTGCGTGGCCACGCTGGTGCCCTCGGTGGACGGGAGCGGGCGCGGGGCCGCCGTGGTGACGGCGGTGGCCCTGCGCCTGGCGGCGCAGCGCCGCGACATGGACCAGCTGCTGGCGCCGCTGCGGCTCGGCCCGGCCGACCTGCAGCGCGTGCAGGCGCTCATGCGGCGCGAGATGGAGCTGGGCCTCAAGCCGGAGACCAACGCGCAGTCCTCCGTGCGCATGCTGCCCACCTACGTGCGCAACACGCCGGACGGCACCGGTGCGGCCCRGAACGAGGGTGCGGGGTGGCAGGCGCCGCTGCAGCCCCCTGACACCCCGTGCCCGCTCCCTCCTGCAGAGAGAGGCGATTTCCTGGCGCTGGACCTGGGCGGCACCAACTTCCGCGTGCTGGTAGTGCACGTGGAGCACAACGGCGTCCGCATGGCCAGCCAGATCTACGCCATCCCGCTCGCCATCATGCAGGGCACCGGCGAGGCGGTGCGACCCGCCACGGGACGGGACCGGACGGGACGGGATGGGAGATGTGTCTCCCTCCGGGGCTGGGATGCAGGGGGGCTGTGGGGGCCGCCTGACCAGCCCCGTGTCCCTGCCCGGCTCACGGCGTTCTCCCTCCCCAGCTCTTCGACCACATCATCGACTGCATCATGGACTTCCAGCAGAAGCAGGGCATGACGGGGCAGGTCCTGCCCCTCGGCTTCACCTTCTCCTTCCCCTGCCATCAGCTGGGCCTGGACAAGGTGAGGGGGCAGCCCCAGCCCCACGGCCGGGCAGGACCCGGGCAGTGCCTGGTCACGCTGCGCCCGTCTCTCTCTTACAGGCCATGCTGCTGAGCTGGACCAAAGGCTTCAGCGCCTCGGACTGCGTGGGCAGGGACGTGGTGCAGATGCTGCGGGAGGCTGCGCAGCGCAAACAGGTCGGGACAGGCATGGGGACAGGGAGCTGGCATCTCCCGGAGCCAGTAGGATGTCCTGAAGCCACATGCACCTCTGCCGCTTGCTYTGCAGCACGCAGGGCTGGATGTGGTGGCCGTGGTGAAYGACACCGTGGGCACCATGATGTCTTGTGGCTATGACGACCCCAGCTGTGAGATCGGCCTCATCGTGGGTGAGCGCGATCTCGCCGTCCCCGTGCATGGGGCACAGGGGCAGCACGTCCCTACGGCCACCCCAGTCCCCAGGCACGGCCACACGGAGCAAAGGCCRACGGCAGCATCATGCCCGCAGGCACAGGCACCAACGCCTGCTACATGGAGGAGATGAAGAACGTGGGCACCGTCGACGGCGAGGAGGGCCGCATGTGCATCAACATGGAGTGGGGTGCCTTTGGGGAGAACGGCTGCTTGGACGACATCTTCACCGACTTCGACCGCATGGTGGACGAGAAAACCATCAACCCGGGCAAGCAGAGGTGGGCGAGGGTCCCGGCGCGGCGCTGCTCCCCACGCAGGCGCTGCCTGTGCCCCGCTCAGGCCGCCCGCCCGCAGGTTCGAGAAGCTCATCAGCGGCATGTACCTGGGCGAGATCGTGCGCTACATCCTGCTGGCGCTGGTGGAGAAGCACATCCTATTCCGGGGCAAGCCCGCGCCCAAGCTCCAGACCAGGGACATCTTCCAGACCAAGTTCCTCTCCACCATCGAGATGTGAGTGCCAGAGCCGTACACCGGGGGGGTGCCGTGCTGTGCCATACCATGCCATGGGATGATGGCACCTCCACTGGCGCCGTGGGGAGTGGGGCTCAGGCCGGGGGTGCTGATGGGCTGCATCATGTCTGCAGCGACGGGCTGGCCCTGGGGCAAGTGCGCGGGGTCCTGCACGAGCTGGAGCTGGAGGCCAGCTTCGAGGACAGCGTGCTGGTGCGCGAGGTGTGCCAGACCGTGTCGCTGCGCGCCGCCCAGCTCTGCGCCGCCGGCCTGGCCGCCGTCGTGGAGAAGATGCGCGAGAGCCGGGGCCTGGCCCAGCTGGCCGTCACCGTGGGGGTGGACGGCACCCTCTACAAGATGCACCCGCGGTGAGCGGGGCYGGGCGGGYGGCGCCGCGGGGGTCCCGGGGGCGATGGCGGCGGCTCATGCTCCTCTCCYGTCCCCGCCGCAGCTTCTCGCAGCACCTGCAGCGCACGCTGCGCGAGCTGGCACCCCAGTGCTCCGTCACCTTCCTGCAGTCGGAGGACGGCTCGGGCAAGGGGGCAGCGCTGGTGGCCGCCGTGCACTGCCGCGTGGCCCAGGCGCAGGGGCCGCAGTAGCCGCCACCACCTCCCTCCTCTCAATAAAGAGCTCTGCACCGCACCGCTGTCTCTGGGGGGGACACCAGGGGACGGGGGGTCCTGGGCACAGCGCACGGCCGGGCAGAGCCCCACGTAGCAATATATATATCGAATTTATTTACATTCACGTCCGCCAGCTTCCCGCCCCGCCCCGTCCCCGCCCGCCCGCGGCACCGCTATGTACATAAGGCCAAGTGTAAATACTTGAATGCACTTAATACAGAATTAAAAAAAACGGTCTTTACACAACACGGCACGGGGCGCGGGGCTGCCCGGCCCCACGCGGAGACAGCACGACGGCACCGCACGCACCACGCACACCCAGCGCCGGCCCGGCCCGGCGCGGCCGCCGCCAACGCTGCTCTTTGGCTCCGCGGCCTCCGCCTGCCCCGCGGCCGGCCGCGGGCTCCGGGCACGGCGGCTCTCCCCGCGCGCCGACGGGGCGGCCGGAGGCGGGCACGCTCAGCACTCAGCCTCGGAGAAGAGGCCGCCGTCCTGCTTGCCAACCTCGGCCACGGCGGCCGCCAGCTGCGAGAGGTTGCCGTTGGGGAAGTGCCGCGCTTCCCACAGGTTGAGGATCATGGCCGTGGGGCTGGCCTTGGAGGCGAAGAAGCCCAGGTGGCTGCGGGGCAGGAGGAGGGAGAGCGTGAGGGGCCGTGGGACGCGCGCGCCCGGTGCCCACCCCGCCGCCAGCGCTCACCTCTCCAGGTTGAGCTTCTGCGCCAGCGTGCGCCAGTCGGCCCCGCGGGCGCACGGCGTGTCCAGGCTGCTGATGATCTTCTGGCGGATGAGGAAGGGGATCTTGAAGGCACTGGGGCCCACCAGGGCCGGGGAGCCCACATCGCTGTCAGGGATCAGCCAGTCGGAGAAGCGGGTGTCCTGGGGGAGCGCGGCAGGCGTGAGCCCGGTCCGGGGCCCAGCAGCGCCCGCCGCCCGGCCCCGCTCACCTTGGCGATGTTGAAGTTGATGGTGAAGCTCTGCCCGTCGCCCTCCACCTGCCAGATCCAGATCTTGCAGGCCAGCTCGCAGGTGCTGGGGCTGAGGCGCTCCAGGGTGAAGGTGCAGTGCAGGTAGGGCTGCAGCCCGCTCCAGATGTGGTAGAAGGGGATCTCCTGCAGCAGGGACACGTGCTGGCGCAGCTGGCACCTCCCCTGCCACGCACACCGGCTCTCCCGCCAGCATTTGCGGGCCAGCCGGGCTCCCTACCTGGTAGCTGGCCAGGAGCTTGCTCTTCCAGAGGGAGCTGGGCATGTCGTGGATGGAGAGGCGCAGGTTGTGGTAGCTGTCCTTGAAGTGCAGCACGCGGGGCGCGCCGATGAGCTGCCCCCCCATCTGCTTCTCCAGCTGGATGACCTCCTGGCGGGCGGCAGGGCCGGGCTCAGCGGCTGCCCGGCGCGGGGCGCGCGCGGCCGCGGCGCGGCGCTACCTTGAGCACGTCCTGCGTGTCGCTGAGGCAGTACACGCGGATGTTGTACTCCAGCGAGGGGCACGCGGCCGGCGCGAACAGCACCAGCTTGAGGCGCTTGGAGGCTGCCATGCTGAGCGACTCGCCCACCAGGGCGAAGCGCCCCAGCTGYTCCGTGAAGATGTAGCAGGCGTGCGCCTCGAGCTGGCAGTAGTAGAGCTCGGAGCAGGGCTCCACGCCCAGCTGCAGCACGTCCTGCGGCACCGGGAGAGAGATGCAGCCCGGGGCGGCCCCGTGCGTGCCCCCGTGCACCCCCGCCGGCTCCTACCTCCCACGTGCCCTCGCACGACTGCTTCTTGAGCCGAATGCTCCAGTTCTCAGTGCTGGCCTCCACGCAGTGGCCCATGGCCAGGATGGCGGGGCGGGTGAGCAGGACGCCCGGGGGGCCGCAGCTGACGATGGGGCTCAGCAGCGTTTGGCAGCCGGCTAGGGGTAACCTGGCGCGGCACGAGACGGGTGAGCGGGGCCGGCAGGACGGGGTCCCCCCCCGGGCACCGCGCCAGCCCCGGCAGCCCCACCTACCTCACCTCCTCCTGCTTGTGCAGCGTCAGGTAGACCTCGTAGATCTTGCCGCGCGGAATGGCGTCGGGTGGGATGAGCAGGCTGATCCCTGTGCGTGTGGGTGGCGGGATGAGCCCCAGCGACCCTCACAGCGGGTGCCCCCTGCCCACCCGGCTGTACCTGTGTTGGGGATCATGAGGCGCCCCCCCAAGAAGTTGAAGGTGCCGTAGGCCATGTTGTTGGTGCCGCGGGGCAGGGAGCGGAAGTAGCTCTGCGTGGAGAGACGGGCCACGAAGTCGGCGCCCTCGGCCACGGGCGAGCTGTGGTGCAGCGTGTGCCGCCCGGCGCCCAGCGGGCTCAGCAGGTGCCCGTTGGGCAGCTGCAGCTTGGCGGGGCCGTCCTGGCGCGGGCACAGCGAGCCCTGGTAGGTCATGGTGGCGCTGCTGAGGTCRGGCTGGATGGTGAGCAGGTTGTCTGCGGGCACAGAGCGGGCCGTGGTGCCGGAGCCCTCGGCTGGGGCACCGCAGAGCCCCCAGCCCAGGCCGGGGATGCCCCAGGGGCACAGCTACCTCTGGAGGTCCATGGGGCACCAAGCCTCTACCCGGGCCTGGGATTGCACAGAGCGCAGACCCTGCTCAAGGCTATGSACCCTCCACAGGCAGCCCCAGCCCACAGCCAGGACCCCTATAGGGCACTGACCCTGCCCAGCACTGGGGATCCTTTGGTGCCCGGAGCCCAGCGCCAGGCTTGGGCGTCCCGTGGGGCACAGAGCCTCTGCTCCAGACCCTACAGGGCAGAGTCCCCTCGCCAAGGCACAGACCCCCTCGGGCAGAGCCCTCACTCACCCGCCTTGCTGGGCTTGATGCTGACGGGCTGGAAGCCGGCGGTGAGGATGGACGAGTCGGCCACGTCGGCGTCCAGGCCCTCCTTCTTGCGGCAGTACACGAGCACGCCCACGAGCAGCAGCAGCACCAGGCACACGGCCACGGCCACGAGCCCCACGTAGAGCGCCACGTCCTCGGCGCCCGCGGCGGCTGTGGGCGGCAGGGTGTGAGCGCGGGCGCCCCGGGCCCGGCGGGCACCCCCACCGCCGCGCGCCCCTCACCGTGGCTGCAGAGCTCCGAGGTGCAGTTGCGCGTCTCGAGCTCGGCGCCGCGGCACTCCTGGCCGCCGTTGCGCGGCGCGGGCTCCGAGCACTCGCGGCTCCGCCAGTGTGTGCACTCGGCGCCGCACACCGACCACTTGCTCCACTCTGACCAGGCGCCGTCCACTGCGGGCACAGGGGGCCGTGAGCGCCCGGCGCCCCGGCCTCCCCTGCCCCAGGGACGGGACGGAAGAGACGGACACACGGAGGGAGGGCGCGGGGCGGCGCGGAGGGCAGGGCTGGGCAGCGTTGGGGCGGCCGGTGCTGGTGAGGACACGGGTTTGCCCGGTGGGTACCTGGGCACAGGGTGGTGCAGGGGCTTTTCTGCACGTTTTGGCCCTCACAGAACGCGCCCCCGTTGAGGGGCGTGGGGTTGGTGCAAGTCCGGCTCCGCTTCTGCCAGCCCCGTCCACAGCTGGTGCTGCAGGCCGACCACTGCGTCCACGTCGACCAGCCGCCGTTCACTGGGTGGAAAGGGAGCCGTGAGCTCCCCGCGCGGCCCGGGGGGATGACGATGGTGACGACAACGACGGGGAGGGCGACACCGGGGCTGCACAGCGGGACGGGGGGCGCGGGGCCCGGCACGGTCGTACCGTAGACAGTGATGGCGGCGGAGGCGCTGCGGCGGCGCGCCACGATGTTTTTGGCCACGCAGGTGTAGTTGGCGGTGTCGGCCAGGCGGGCCTGCCGCACCACCAGGCTGTGCTCCGGCGTCACGTACACGTTGGCGTCCAGCGCCGGGTCCACCAGCTCCTCGTTGCGCAGCCACTCCACCTGCGGGGCGCGGGCACGTCAGCGGGGCCGCCCCTGCTGAGGGACCACCCGGAGGGCCACCCGGGCTCACCTCGGCGGCGGGGATGCCCTCAGGCGGCCGGCACGGCAGCACGATGCCCTGCTCGATGGAGACCTCCCTGGCCGTGGGCTCCTGCTCGAAGTTCTTGCGGAGATCTGGGGAGGCAAAGGGCGAGCGGGGCTGGTGCGGCTGCTGCCCCGTCGCCACCAAAGCGCCCGTCGTGCCGGGGTGCTCAGCACCTCCGGCACCTGCATGCAGCGACACGGCCACCCCCAAGGACGCGGCGTCACCAGAGCGCGGCGCAGCCACCAGCAGCACGGCCGAGGGGGCGGCCCGCTCCCCGCAGCCCACGCTACTCACAGGCGATGCGCACGAAGGCCTTCTGGCTCTTGGTGGTGCCCGAGGAGCTCCAGGCCACGCACTGGCACCAGTACTCCTCCAGGCCGAAGATCTTCTCCACTTGCTGCCGGGAGATGTCGATGCGGACCTCCATGACGGGCAGCCCTGCGTGGGCAAGGGGCCTCTGAGCACACAGGGAACGGCCAGGTGGGTGCACGCAGCTCCTGTCCCGCAACGGAGCAGGGACCCTGCAAGGACCCCGCAACCCGCCCCGAACGCCGCGTGCGGCTCCGTGCTGCAAGCGGTGGCCCCGCCGCGGCGCTCACCGGTGCTGCGGTCGGTGCTGTGCTGCATGACGTGGTCGCCCTGGTGCACCCACTCGCCGTTGCACTTGAAGTAGATCTGGGTGGCGGGGGTGGCCCGGCACGCCAGGCTCACGGGCTTGTTCTTCACGATGTAGACGTCCTCGGGCTCCAGCAGGAAGCGGGGCAGCAGGTCYGGGGAGCCGCCGGCCGCGGGGCTGGCCACGGTGGCGCTCTGCTGAGCACCTGCGGGGACACGGGAGGCTGCGCCACGGCCGCGGCCCCGCTCAGCCCTCCGCGGGAGTTACGGCCCGGTGGCTGCGCCCGCTGAACCCGCGCCGATCCCTCATGTCCGCGCTTAGCGCTAATGGAAAGGAAATGGAGTGTGACCAATAAGGGACATCGCTCACGGCGCYGGGGCACCCGCAGCCCCTCTCGCCAGCCGGGGGCAGCGACAGCGGAGTGAAACGTCCCCTCCACCGGTACCCCCGGCCACACATGGGGTCGGCCGCCCCATGGCTTCATCTGCAGGGTGCCAGGTCACAGGCGCACAGACCGGCACYCACGGGGACAGCAGCGTCCTGGCACGAGACACCGCGGCCCTGCCAAACCCAGGCGCACCGCTCGGGTGTCCGGYGCCCATTGCACAAAGAGTTAATGAAACAGGGCCCTAAATAAGCATTTGATTAACAAACGATAAAATAGCGATTGTGTCACTGAATGAAGCTGTAATTGCTGCTGCTAATTGGCTGGTTAGGATTTAATAAGCAATTAAACGGAATGGAATGCGCAGTAATTAAGTGCCTTCGTTTSGCAACCGCACGCCCTCCCACCCCAAACCCAGCCCCCGGCCCCACGTCCCGCAGGACCCCCTGCCCGCCCGGTGCCACGGTCCCCGTGCGCGGCCCCGCGCAGCCCCTGGTGCAGGGGACAYGGGGGACACGGGGGGTCGGGCCGTGCTGCTCTGCGCGCGGGCAGGGCCTGCGGCAGGGCCGGGGCGCCCGGCGGTGACGCCCGGGGGAGGGCTGCGGGCACCCGGCGCCGTGCGGCGCCTCCTTTGCGCGGCGAAGACAAACGGCAGCCATAACGCGCCGGTTATTACCCCATCAGCACTTTTACAATGTCAGCGGCAATTAATTTAATTAAAACCCCTGTCCAGGATATAACGGCCGCTCGTATTTCACAGCTCTAACAACCCCCCCAGCCGTGGGGCCGGCGCCGGGGTCGCGGCGCGGCCAGGCGCTGCGGTGCCCGCGCGCAGCCGCCGCACCACGGGCCCTGGTGCAGGGCTCCCTCCCCGCTCCCGGTGCCACCCGCAGCGGCCGCCACCGCGACGCTGCCGGCAGGATGCGACCGGCACCATCCATCGCCCGGGACTTTATTTATCCGCTCGCCCGCTGGCCTCCGCGCGGCAATAAAACACGCGCTCCCCCGGCGGGCTGGGGCCGGCACGCCAGGTTAATGGCACAGCGGCTCTCCGGAGACCTGCCTTTTAATCACCCGTGAGCTGAGTGCAGCGGGCTCCGAGCTGCGCATTTATCCGCCGCCGCCGAGCACCGGGTGTGGGGAAGTCGGAGGCTGCAGCAGAGCCGGGCCTGGGGTGGCCAGCGCCGGTCGGTGGGTGCAGGGCAAGGTGGCAGCGAGCGTGGCCGGGGCTGCACGCGGAGGTATGTGGAATGCGGGGCCACGGGCTGCCCGACGGGCCCCACGTGGGCTGGCGGGTGCCCCTCTGCCCCGGCCGCGCTCGGTGCCGCAGCTCGGGCAGCCAGCGCCGCGATAACGGCCCGAGCCCAGGTCCCGGCACCAACTGGAGCAGGGGCGCGAGGCAGGAGCTGGCCCGAGGCCCCTTGCAAGGAGGTGGCAGCGCTGCAGCGTGGCCTCCCTGAGCACCACAAGTGTCCTCAGCACCACACACGAGCACCCCAGGCACCGCGAGCCCCCCAGGGTAGCCCTGGCAGGGCACCTGCCCCACAGGCAGCGCGAGGGTCCCTTGCACAGCATGTCCCGTGCACCACGAGCACCCCACGCACCGCCGCGTGCCCCGGGAGCACCCCTTGCTCAGTGCACACCCCTTGCTCAGCGCACACCCCTTGCTCAGCGCACGCCCCATGCGCCTCAGGCACCCCATGCACCTCGGCTGTCCGTGCACGTACGTGGGTGCCCCGTGCACCCGTTCACCCTGCGGGCAGGGCCCCCCCGCGCCGTGGGCGCCCGCCCCCCACGCGCCCCCCACGCGCTGCCGGGCCCACGGCGCTGAGCCCGGCCCCGCCGCTCACCTGCCGCTGCGTTGCCATGGAAACAGGCGAGATGCTTATGTCACCTTGGCAAAACAGAGGCGGCAACTTCGGGGAGGCTGGGGGGGCGGGAGGGGGGCGCCGGGACCCCCGGCGCTGCGCCCGAGCACAGTCACCATCAGCTGTGCTCTCTGCAGGGCGACGGGCACCCCGGCTCGCTACCGGCACCGAAAAATCACCGCCGCTAAAGCCAGCGCACTAAGCTGGGCTTTATTAGCAATCAGCCCCCGCCCCCGCGGGCTAATGAGCGTGGGGGCAGCGGGCGGGGGTGCTGCCGGGACTGCCCTGGTTTGGGGCGCAGAGGGGCCGACCTGGTCGTGCTGYTCCCTGGGGTTGGGGCCCCCTGGGGCAGGCTCAGCTGGGGCTCAGCACCCTGACCCGTGGGCGCTGCCACCCCGGGCTGTGCAGGGCACCACGGGGCCGGCAGGGACAGCCCTGCGGGACGCCGGGCACAGGCGGCTGCGGGGGGCTCTGCTGGAGCCTCCGCCACCCAGGCACAGCTGGCTGGGGGGTCCCTCTGCCCGGTCGGTGTCCCTAACAGTGCCGAGTGGCAGCGCCGGTGCCAGGGTGGCCCCGCCGCCCACTGCGGCCGCGCGCGGAGGCGCCGCAAAGGTCAGCGTGCTCTTGGCGAGGAGACACTGCCCGCGGGCGCCGCAGCAGCACCGCCAGCACCRGGCACCCCAGCGCGCGCCCACTGCAGCAACTCTGCACCCTGCCGCCGCCAGCAGCCCTGCAGCGCTGCCCTGCMCCGTGCCCGGCCGGCAAGGACGCGCGGGCAGCGGGGGACAGCAGCTGCACCAGCCCCTCGTGCAGTCGGGTGCTGCCTCTGCCTGCCCGCTGGAGCAGTTCGCACACCACAGCACAAACCCCCTGCTCTCCAAGGCACGTGCACGGGGCACGGCGGCAGTGCCAGCACAGCCCTGCTCCAGCTCCGCTGCCCCACGGCCAGCGCAGCCCCTGGAGCGCCGCTGCACCAGGAGACGGGAGCAGCTGTTTGCGGCTGGGGACACCTCGGAGCCGCCCCGGGAACTGCTGTGCAGCGGGTGCCACACAGACCCTGGCTGTCCCTGCAGCGCCCGTCCCGCGATGCTGTGGGGCTCTTCCCAAGGGGACACCCCGTCTGGCAGCAGGCACCGTGATGGTGTTGAGCCCGGCCCTTGTCCCCGGCTGCGCTCCCAGCAGCGGCATCCCTGTGGCACCCGGGCATCGGCTGGGCCCCGCTCGRGGGACATCCCCAAATCACCGCGGGCTTTTCAGGCGGCAAATTAAGTCCCCAGCTGGAATCCCATAAATCGTGGCCTGCGCCAGACCTGGCACTCCATTACAGGGAAAGATTTTATGGTGCTTTACAAGTGCCCGGCCTGCACCCCGACAGCAGGTAATTAAAGCAATAATTGCTGCTGCTTGGGCTGGCCAAAACAAGGGAATGGCGGCGTGGGGGGACCGAGGATGGCGATGCCACCATGCCCGGCATGCAGAGAGGGCCTGTGGGTCCCGGCTGCAGGGGCAGCAGGGCCTCGCGTGGGCTGGGGGGGACACTGGGCACTGCCACGGTGCAGCAACAGCAGGAAGGCCCCGACACCGGCACTTTGTTCTCGGCACGGAGGAGGGAACTGGCACAACTCGCTTCATCAAAAATTCTTTTGAGGCTTTGAGCACGGAGACGTCCTGCTGGGGAGGCCGCCAGAGGAGCGGCGGGAGCCGCCGCGGCGCCCGCCTCGCTGCCCGCGCCGCCTGCCGCGGGGCCCCGGGAGCGCCCGGCCTGGCCGCAAGGTCTCACCAGCTCCATCCCTCACCCGCGGCGTCACCTCGGCGCAAACGCACCCCCTGCACCCACTCCCAGCCCCTCAGTCCCTCGACGCCCCGGGCCCAGCCTCCGGCAAGCAGGTGGAGGCTGCGCCGCGGTGCCCGGGCTCCCTTGCTCGGCGGGCGCCGGGCGAACGGCTGCAGGAGCCCCGGGCACTGGTGCCCCGGGCACATCCCGGCCCGGGCCGGACCCCACGGGCACAGGCTGCCACCGRGGCCAGAGGGTGCTGCGTCCCGCGGGCGCGTGGCGGCGCCGGGGCGCTGATTAACCGCGCGATTGTTATGAATGAATTAGTCAGGCGGGTTTTGCATCACAATGGAGCTGCCTAATTACAGAGCGGAGCTGATAGCGCTCCCCSTTACATGCAATTAGCGCGTGCGAGCCCCAGCCCCGCTCCCCGGCGCGGCACCCTCCTCGCGCCCCGGCGCCCGCTCGCGGTGCTGCCCTCGGGGCCTGGCCCACCCCGTGTCCTAGCCCGGAGCTGGGACAACTTCCCCTGCAGCCTGGGGGGCAGCAGGGAGCCCGGACCCTGCCCCGCGCGCCCCATCGCACGCTGCCCCATGGCACTGCTGCCAGGGGATCCAATGTTGCAACCGGGAGCTCCGCGGAGCCTCACGGCTCTCCGGCCCCAGCCTGCCCATCGGGGCCGAGCCAACCCATGCGAGCCCCAGCACGGTGACCAGAGCACAGGGAAGAGTCCCCAGCCCAGCTCTCGTTCCACAGGGCACTGGGGGCTCGCCTGGCACCAGGACGGCRTTGTGGGGACAGCCAGTGCCATGGTTGGAGCCGAGTGGGTTTTGTGGCTCTCCTCTAACTGACGTCAAGGATCCAAGGCTCCGACTCAGCCGTCCCTGCTGGGAGGAGTGTCAAGGTCACCCTCAGCCCTGGGTGCCCAGGCCGGAGTGGGGAGGAGGCCGGTGGGAGGCCAGGAACGCACCGTATCACCCAACAGGCTGGTTAGAGTCAGCACCCAAGCACATCCCTGGGGTGGCACCAGCTGTTCTGGAGGGACCCAGGGAACTGGGGGGCTCCCACAGCTGCCCATGGGGAGAGGATGAGCAGTGCTCAGCCCTGCACCCTGCGGGGTGGGTGCATCGGCACCCAGTAGCACCGAGGGCTCCTGGGCCCACGGGCTGGGCCGGGCTGGGGTCCCAGCAGAGCTCGTACGCGCAACACGCAGGAATGGCACCAGCACCAAGGCAGCACCCGTGGGCGCAGGGCAGGGTGCTGGAGGCCACAGGCTCTGTGGGACCAGCACCGGGCTAGGACCCCGGGCCAACGTCCCCCTGTCACCAGCACCAGCCCCCAGGCGGTACCGAACCCTGCGGCCCTCGTAGAGGGACCGGCGCCCGGCTGCCCCCCCGGCTGCAGCACTGGGCTGGGGGGCTCTGTGGGGAGGGGACCCAGTGGCGGCGGCACCGCCAGCACCGCGGCCCCTCCTGCAAGCACCTGTCAGGCTCCGCAAGGTTTGATTTAGTGCCAGCCCCGCGCGGCACCGAGCCAGAACAAACAGCCCTGGGCAGGCTGCGTCTGCCGAGCTCGCGCTGACAGCCGTCACGGCGGCTCCCCGGCCGCGCCGGCCCTGCCCGGCCCCGCTGCCCGCCCGCAGCGGCGCTGGATCCCGGCAGGGGCAGCAGGGAATGGGGCACTGCGGAGCGCAGCGCACAGCGGTGCCCAGCACCGGCTGAGCTGCACAGCCCGGTGCCCAGCACAGCAGAGCCCGTGGCCCAGAGCTGCCCCATCCCTGCAGGTCTCTGCCCCAACACGGGGGTGATGCTCTAGGGCTGGGCTGACTTGGGGGCCGAGATTCGGCTGCCCCAGAAGCCAAGGGGAAGGGGAGGTGCCCACAGGCAGCACTGGGCTGGCAAGGGGCAGGGTAGCTCCACAGAAGGGGGATCCTGCACCCTGTGCCCTTACCCACGTGGCAATGCAGCGGCTGCGCCAGGCAGCCCTGGMCCCTCCGGCTCCTCGCCCTGCACCACAGCCCACGGACCAGCACTAGCCCACGTACACGGCAGCCCACACAGCTGCTGCCCCTGCAGGCACCAGGAGCCCATGGGGCAGCCCTCCCTGCGGGCACCACTCTGCATCACGGGGCAAGGGGCCCCTGCCTCACACCGGGGTGCTCTTGTGCCCACCTGTGCCTCGGTTTCCCGGGGAAGGGGTGCCCTGCTGTGCAGGGCACAGGGCTGGAGAGGCGCCCGGTGCACAGAGACCYGGCCCTGGCACGTCTGTGCCAGCAGCCATGCAGGTGGCCAGGATCAATCGCGGCGGTGGCCATGGAGGGAGCGCGGCCGCGCTGCACTGCCCGAGCCGGCACCGCAGCCCCGGCTCCCCGTGCCTCCCAGCACAGACCCATGGCCATGGCCGAGCAGAGCAGCACCCGCCACCCAACCCTCCATCCCACCTCCTGTCCCTGGGTCGCTGCGTGCCCGGCCAGTTATTTGGCAGCCAGGGCACCCTCCCTCTGGAGCCCCCAGGTCCCCGGGGGGTGCACGCCGGGGAGGCGAGGCTTCRTGCTGCCCCCCTGGCAGCTCTGCAGTGCCCCCCTGCAGCCAGGGCCCTGCTCGGAGCAGCAGCAGGCACCGGACACCAGAYGCGCTGGCTGCGCAAGGCTGCTCCTGGCTGCGCAAGATGCACCGGGGCTGCAGGCGTGATGCGATGCCAGGCTGCGTGTCCCCCCGGTGCCCGCCGTGCCCGTTGAGTGCACCGGCACCGGGCCGGGGGCCGTCTCCAGCAGCAGCAGGAGGGCTGGGGGCCCGGCCCCCCCGGCGGGCCGCAGCACCCGCTCCCCGGGACCCCCGGCGGGGAGCACGTCCGGCCGCTCCGGCGCAGCTCCCATCCCCCAGCGCTCCTTTGTCTGCAGCCGCCACTTCCCGGCTAACGTGACACCTGCCAAGGAGCTGCCAGCCCCGCCGCTGGCCCCAGGCACCCGGACACCAGTGCCACAGCCTCCAGAGCCCCCCAGGAAAGCAGCGAGGGGCAGGAGGCGTGAGGGGGCTGGCCCAGCAGCTCCCCCTGCCCGCTGAGCACTGCCYCAGGGCTGCAGACATGGGGGGCAGCACACAGGGGACAGCCAGGTTCCAGACCACCCTGTCTCCAGCAGTTCCCCATGCAGCCCCACATGTCCCCATGCCACAGCTACACYGGGACACCCCTGGGGGGTGCMAGGAGCCCACCAGGCTGTGCCCCTTGACGCTCCCCCATGTCCTGCCAGGTTCCTGGGAGGCAGGGACTCCATGAGTGGGGCAGGGACCCCCAGGGGCACCCCTGCCCAGGCTGGCAGGGACCCAGGTGTCTGGCGGAGCACAGCCAAGCTGGTGGGATGGTGAGTGCCGGCCTGGCAAGCAGCGCATGGACAGCGTGGGGGGGGCGCCAGGCAGGCACGCGTGTGCAGCACTGCGTGGGCATGGGCAGGGGGTAGCGGCAGTGCCAGGTTTTGGCACAGGGTGCACACCCCCTGCCTGCGAGCGCACCCCAGAGACCCGGTGTGGGGGCGCATCCCGCACACCGTGCTCCAAGGAGAGCCCAGCACCTGTGCTGGGGAGGGCACCCAGCTCTGCCACGAGCGCACCCTGCACTGCACGGGATGGCCAGCACCTTGCATGTAGGACAGCCAGCMCCTCGCACGCAGGACGACCCCCAGCAGCCCTGTCCATGCGGACACCCAGTAACGCCACAGCCAGGAGGGCACCGTGCCCGGGAAGGCTCCCTGCAGCCGGCAGGGCGCTCAGCACCTCTGTCCGGGCGCGCACCCAGGACGCCGTCCCCGAGAGGACACCCGGCGCCTCCGCAGGACCCGCGGCGCCCTCTCCCCGGGAGGGCGCGGGGCAGCCCGGGGACGGCCCTGCCGGGGCACCCGCCCCCCGCCCAGCGCGCGGGCCCCC